CAGACCAGACCGGGGAAGGAGAGAAGCAACCCCAGCTGCTGATGCGAACACAGTCTAAGTCAGCGCCACTTTGGAGCAACGATACAATCCAACTAAATATTAGAAAAATATGGTCTGACCATTTAGATTTCAGAAGGATCCAAAACCAATTTAGACTCCAGTCGGTGGACAAAGTTCACATTCAGCAAAACAGCTCCAGCAGTTGCATCATACACACAACAGGGCAATTCAGAAATACAGATGTCCAGCCATGTGCAAAACAATGCTTTCATTTTTTTCTTCTCTTTCCCACCGCTGACCCTGAGAGTAGGCTGGAAAAGCTCGGCATCTGTTGCTACTAAGAATAGGCCACAGAGACAATTATTTATGAGCTTGTGAGCACCAAGCTACCCATGCTCAGGCACCATAACCGCACATAGCTGTCACTGTGTTGAGAGTTGTACAACTGATTCCCTGTACTAGACAGGGTTACTTTCCAGTTTGTTCACAGAACACAACAAGTCAGAGCATGGCTCAAAACAATCTGCCCAATGGGTCATTGTCCGGAGACCAAGATTCAGGTTAGACAGGATTCTAGGGAACTACATGGAACATGGTATTTAAATTGGCACTGAGCTCACACTAAAGGGATAAGAAACAGAACAGTAATGCTCCCTCCAGCAAACAGCTAAGCTTCTACAGACGCGTACTCTCGTGGAAACTCAGCCTGAATCCTTGCTGGGGACAACATTTACCAAATGATGCTGGGCATGTCAGGACCACAGTAGTAAGTGAGGACTTAAGGCCAAAAGATGTCAGTACATGCTTTGGAGGTAAGCCTGAGTTTCCGAGTTGCCCTGACGTACATCAGCTTCGCAGAACACATAAAGACTTGCTTTAGCATCCTGGTACTCCCAACTGTGTCTTTTACACCAGATAAAGTTGTTTCTCCAGCAGAAGTGAGTCATGTATAAAAATGAAGGAAAACAAAACATGTCTGTCTGTCCCATGAAATCGACCGACTAAGTACTCAGTAAATTCCATACCAACAACAAAGCTCCCCATATTGCCACAGATACAGCAACAGGGTGGATCCAATCATGTCCTACCCACAATACAGGGAGATTTTAATGTGCACGAAGTCTTCCTCTGTTCCCCAGCAGCTCCACCTGCACTGTAGTAGATTGTTATCTTACTCAAAATACTGGCTTTTCTACCCTGGACCTATCCCCACACAGCCTTTCCCTTATGCCCTCCCGAAATCAGCCTTGACCACGTGCCTTGCTTTGGCCATGGAATATTTGTGGGG